GTATGATATGAGTACCCTGCTGAAAATGACGGATGATTGCGGATATAAATTCTTCGTCAAAACCGGATAAAAGCAGATGATTGCGGGTATAAATTCTTCGTCGAAGCCGGATAAAAGCAGATAAAAGCGGGTAAAAATATCATCTGATAACATCTGCTTTTGGCCGCATCGCTATATCCGCAAACACCCGGTTGGTTGTGTTTTATGTCCGGTTAGTGCACCCCCGCAATCATCTGCAATCATCTGTTTTTAACCGTCTTCACTGTGATTCGTTTATATCTGAATTTGTCCGGAATCATCTGCAAACGTCTGCTTACGTCTGTTTTTATCCGCGATTACCTGCATTTTTTTCCGTCTATTTTTGTCGGGTTTTATCTGCAAACGTCTGGTTTTATCCGCGAGCATATGCTTTTACCCGCGAACATCTGCAATCATCCGCGAACATCTGCTTTCATCCGCGAATATCTGATTTTATCCGCCAACATCTGCTTTTATCCGCGAACATCTGCTTTCATCCGCGAACATCTGCAGTCACCCGCGAACAACTGCTTTTATCCTCGAACATCTGCAATCACCCGCGAACATCTGCTTTCATCCGCAAACGTCTGGTTTTATCCGCAAACATCTGTTTTCATACGGTTTCACCCACAAACATGCTTTTATCTGCGAACGCCTGATTTCATCCGGTTAGAGCACCCCCGCAAACATCTGCTTTTATCCGCGAACATCTGCAATCACCCGCGAACATCTGCTTTCATCCGCGAACATCTGCAATAATCCGCGAACATCTGCTTTTATCCGCAAACATCTCATTTTAACCGCGAACATCTGCTTTTATCCGCAAACATCTGCTTTCATCCGCGAACAACTGCTTTTATCCTCGAACATCTGCAATCACCCGCGAACATCTGCTTTCATCCGCAAACGTCTGGTTTTATCCGCAAACATCTGTTTTCATACGGTTTCACCCACAAACATGCTTTTATCTGCGAACGCCTGATTTCATCCGGTTAGTGCACCCCCGCAAACATCTGCTTTTATCCGCGAACATCTGCAATCACTCGCGAACATCTGCTTTCATCCGCGAACATCTGCAATCACCCGCGAACATCTGCTTTCATCCGCGAACATCTGCAATCATCCGCGAACATCTGCTTTTATCCGCAAACATCTCATTTTATCCGCGAACATCTGCTTTTATCCGCAAACATCTGATTTTATCCGCAAACATATGCTTTTATCGGCAAACATCTGCTTTTATCCGCAAACATCTGATTTTATACGCAAACATCTGCTTTTATCCGCAAACATCTGCTTTTATCCGCAAACATCTGATTTTATCCGCAAACATCTGATTTTATCCGCAAACATCTGATTTTAATCGAAAACATCTGATTTTATCCGCAAACACCTGCATTTATCCGCAAATATCTGCTTTTATCCGCGAACATCTCCAAACATCTGCTTTTAATTGCAAATCTCTGCTTTCGTCCGCGTTCGGTTTGCCTGTATTTCCTTTGTGCATTTCGGTCCTGTTTCGTACGCAAACGTCTGGTTTCATTCGCGCTTTTTGTTTTCCTTTTTCTCGTGTATACTTTAGTTAAGTTTACCTGCTTTGTCAAATTTTACTGAGCTTTAACTAACTGGTTTTTAGCCGTTCACGGCACACAACTTTATAACTCTAAAAAGAATTATTTGAATAAAAACAACCTGTAAAGGAAATAAGTTTATTCAACACGACATTTTCCCAATGGGAAAATAATTTAATTATATTCACCAGATTTAAATTTAAAAATCAGGTATACTATAGTGAAGAGTACCACAGAAATAATAAGTCTATTAATTCTTACATATATATTAAAAATATTGGTTATGCCAAAATTAAAAAGTTTTTAAAGTTAGCTGAAAAATTCTACGCCTAAATAAGTGTTTTTCAAACAAATTCCATACAAATTGAAGATGTTATAATTCCAAATGTATTTGAAATTAAACATATATGTTTTCTAACAATTAATTTAAATGTAAGCTTAATGATTAAAAAATATCTATTTATGTCCTTTAACAAAGACCTTATTTGTATTTTACCAAATAATATTGAAGTTCAATAAACTTATTTCCTTTACAGGTTGTTTTTATTCAAATAATTCCTTTTAGAGTTATAAAGTTGTGTGCCAGTTAGTTAAAGCTCAGTAAAATTTTACAAAGCAGTTAAACTAAACTAAAGTATACCCGAGAAAAAGGAAAACAAAAAGCGCGAATGAAACCAAACGTTTGCGTACGAAACAGGACCTATGTAAATGGACAAAGGAAATGCAGACAAACCGAACGCGGATGAAAGCAGAGGTTTGCAGTTAAAAGCAGATGTTTGCAGATGATCGCGGAAAGCTCAGTAAAATTTGACAAAGCGGATAAACTAAACTAAAGTATACACGAGAAAAAGGAAAACAAAAATCGCGAATGAAACCAGACGTTTGCGTACGAAACAGGACCGAAAAAGACAAAGGAAATGCAGGCAAACCGAACGCGGATGAAAGCAGAGATTTGCAATTAAAAGCAGATGTTTGGAGATGTTCGCGGATAAAAGCAGATATTTGCGGATAAAAGCAGATGTTTGCGGATAAAACCAGACGTTTGCGGATAAAAGCAGATGTTTGCGGATAAAAGCAGATGTTTGCAGGTGAGATCTTATGAATCAGACTTTTGCGGACTAAATGAGATGTTTACGGATTAAAACAGATGTTTGAGGATTAAAATAGATATTCGCGGATGAAAGTAGATCTTCACGTATAAAAGCAGATGTTTGCAGGTGAAATCGGATAAAGCAGACGTTTGCGGATTAAAGTAGATGTTTGCGGATAAAATCAGATAAAACCGGGTGAATGCAGATATAAACTCAAATACAGGTATTTGCGGATGAAAACAGATAAAAGCAGACATAGATCTAAATAGATAAAACCCGACGTTCGCGGATAATATTTATACCCGCAATTGCAGATAAAAACCGACATGCCGGGTAAAATCAGATATGTCGGATAAAAACAGATACAAATGGACATAAAACTAGCTTGGTTTTATATCCGCAATCATCCGATATTACCCGTCTTTTTCAGCAGGGTAGTAGACTGGCATGCAATAGTCCATAATAGGGTGTATATTAATGTTGAAACAATTTTGCACTTGGTGTTAGAATTTAGAACATACTTAAATTAATATAGTGATTTCATATAACACAAACTAAGTTGTCTTGTAACATGGCTTTCAAAGTTCAGGAATGTATAAAAAATAACACCTAGATTTCTTGCTGAGGTATTTCTATATTATTTATATGTATGGTAATAAAATTATATTGTTTTTTATTTATCATATATACTGTACCAATATTTATTACAAGACTCTTTTTGGCTTTTAACTGAAGTCTATGATTAACTGACCAGGCATTTACTTCTTTTAAGACTTTATTTATTTCGATAGTGGTTGTGTTAATTAATTTAGAGTAACGCAAAATCTTTTTTAAATTTAATAAAATCAACAAGAGTTGCTAATTTTTTTCATCAAAAGGCGTAATAAAATAATAAAAAAAATTTAGACTGATACAGGCATTTGGTTTGTCTATGCAATAATACATGGAGTAACTTTTTGTTGCCATCTCAATTAAAATATATATAAAAAATTTGGGCCCCCCAGGGCACCCTTAAATATTGGGCTAGAATGGCTATTTTTTTCTTAACATACTGTTAACATGAGGTTACTTTTTGTGGTTACCCAAATTAAAATATGAACAAAAAATATATTTTGGGCCTCCGGGGCACCCTTAAATTTTGGGCTAGTACGCTCATTTTTTTTTAGAATTACTGTAAATATAAGGTAACTTTTGTGGTTCCCCAATTAAAATATGATAAAAATAAATATTTTGGGCCTCCGGGGAACCCTTAAATATTGGGCTAGTACGCTCATTTTTTTTTCTAGAATTACTGTTAACATAAGGTAACTTTTTGTTCCCACCCCAGTCAAAACATACAAAAAAAAATATTTTGGGCCCCCGGGGGACCCTTAAATAATGGGCTAGTACGCTACATTTTTTTCTAATAAATTACTTTTAACATAAGGTAACTTTTTATTGCTACCCAAAAATAAATATCTCAAATATTTTTTTTTTACGTTTTTCGGCCCACCCTACTGTCCATATTATATGAAAAATTGACTAATCTCAAAACCTGTTCTACTTTTATAACTTTGGACGACATTTTCAGATTCAGCGGAGAATTTTTCATAAAAATTGACTGCTAAATGTCCGGAAAAAAATTATTAATTTTTGACCAATTTATTTTTAGAAAAAGTGGCATAATATATATATATGCATATTATGTAAAATCTACTAAAAATCTCGTTAACACATTGAAAAAAAAAACAATTCCAAAACAATTATATTTACATATATACAACAGAAAACAAAAAAAATGGTAAGTGCAAATGCCTAGCTGTCAAGTGTCAGTCAACTCTCTGTCAACATTCAACAATAACAAAACAAACAGCCCGCAGAAATGTATATCTAATGGTAATTTAAAATTTAATTTGCTAATATTAAGTTAATTAAGATCATACCTACCTACATTTTTTAAAATTTTAATTCAACATAATATTGCAGCGCTCTTTATTGGAAAAAGTAGCACAAAATTTTACGCCTGGCCATTTTTGGTTGTTTTGTGAGACCTAATTTTTCGTCATTATGGAGAAGGTAAAATTCAGCTGTATTATCCTTTAACTTTTTAGTTATACATAAACCTAGGTGTATTTATAACCAAATTGATATAATTTTAACTTTAAATCGTATTCCATAATTATAGCGTATAAAATATCAACTTATTTTTAAATATATATTTTTGTAAAAACATAAGACATCCTTGCTAAAACTATAATTCAACCAGCCAAAATAATATAACCCATGGTATTTAAAAAGTTACAGATTGAACCCTTATAGTGTATAAAATAAAACAAAATATAACTCTTAACAACTTTATATTCATTATTATTATTGGTATTGTACTTATTTACTTAAAAATGACAATAATCCAAAAAAACTTACTACAACCTCAATAATAGTGTAATATGTACATTGAAAGCAAAATACTAATTATTTTTGAAAGCTTCCAAAACCTAAACCCACCCCTCTCATAGTGTGTGTGGCAGTTCTGGCGACTTCATATTGTTGTTCCATTGAAGAAAACATTTCCTCTTGTTTTTTTAGTATGTCTGAAGGGTTCTGCTGGCCTTCAGATTCGTTACGTATGCCCATAAGTCTTTTAAATTTGCTCGCGACTTTGCCTAAAAAAGATGGGTACATAAATAATCCTCTTTGTTCTACAAACTGTTCAAGAAAATCCTATGAAACGAAAACCCTAAATTCTAGAGAAAATCAAAAATAAAATAATTAATTAAAATTTTTAGTGATTTTTATACAAAAAATATAATTAGAAATGTTAAATTTGTTTTATAATGAGAAAACCAAACGCTAAACAAGCACCGGGTATTCGAAACGGACGCGCCATTTGGTGGCGCTCTAAGGCATTGTGGTAATTCAAGAATAAATCTTGTTAACAATAAATTTAAAGCATACGAACTGCACATAATTTTTAATTAAATTAGTCACAAATTTTGTTTGCAAAGTAATTGCACAGCTAAATCGCGCACGTTATTTCTGTTTCGCGTTGCAGGTAAAAACTAAAAAACTTTGGTTTAGTACTCGAGATACTCCACGCTTAAATTCTTATATAGCTCTCTAAAAAAACGCCGACTACTGCATTTTAAAATAGTTGACAAAATATATCTACGAATTCATGGAAACATAATATAAATAATAAACTACGGAATACTCAACTATGAAACACAATTAACTAAAAAACAAATAAAAAAATAACTACAATGCAAAATGAATGCCTAAGAATATGCCTAGGTACACTAAAATCCACCCCCCTACATGTTCTGAACAATGAAGCTGCTATGACCCCAATCAAAATACATATTTTTTATTTTTATTTATTTATTTATTTGAACTAGGTGGGGTACATATTATGATGCAAGCATAGAACAACAAATACAAACAACCTTTATCAGATGGTGGACAATCTATAGCCAAACAGATAATAAATTAAACACACTAAATCACATCATAATGGCAAATAAATACTGGAGCAAAACCAAAATACCCTTGGATATACTCGCATACCGAGAATATAAAGAAGCACTTGAGCATGTCAATAACACCTACCCGCCAAACGACTTTCCATTACATAGAAAACCACTAAATATATCAACCAACATACCCAACATCAAATCCAAGACAGAAGACTTAACAATACTCAAAGCAGAAACTCTAAGAATGATTGACACAAAATACAAAGACCAAGAAAAATCGAATACACGGCGCCTGCAGCAGTTATTCCAAATCTGAAAGTAATAAAAGGTATTAAAATACAAGCACCTACAACTGATCGAAGGCAGAAGCACCAAAAGATATGTTATCCTAACAGACTCTAAAGCAGCCCTGCAAACGCTCAAGAGGATGGACACACTAAATAACAAACATCGCCGAAGAGATATTCACAAGGGTCACTGACACCAGGGGCATAAACATCATGTTCCAATGGATACCTGGACACATCAACATCCCAGGCAACGAAATGGCAGATGCGGCCGCCAAAGAAGTGTTACACCCAATAAGCCACGTAAGGGTACCACATAGAGAGTTAAATCAAACTATTAGAGAAAAACAATGGAAAAGTGGACATGAGTACAACAATGAAAGAAGAACAAAAGGAAAATGGTACGGAAAAATTCAAGCAAACATTCAGTTAATACCATGGTTCCACAAAACAAACCTTAAAAGACAAGCCACAACAAAAATAATTCTATAGAGGACTGGACACGGCCTCCTAAACGAGAAAAAATTCTTATTCAAACAAATAGATAATCCAGACTGTCCAACCTGCGAGGTACCCGAGACGGTGGAACATGTTCTGCTCCACTGCAAAAGGACACAACAAGCAAGACAACAAACCGAAAAAGACACTGGAAGCAAAATCATGGACCTACTAAAAAACATAGACCAGACCTACCACAAACTAAAGAAATTCTTGAACAAAGTTCCCAACTTGTAAATGAACGTCGTAATTATGGTTGGATAGCCTTAGGCTAAAACCTTGTGTAATAATATTTGTTGTATTACTGCACTAAATCGAATAAATAAATAAATAAAAATAACAGCCGAGTGGTGGCGCTATTAGCGATGCTTCTTTATAGATAGGAAATGCTCGCTTGGCAGCGGGATAAAGGAGGGATGTGTACAGGGTGGTCCACGTAAGGTGACCCATATACTTATCTCAGAAACTACTGGAGTCACAAAAAATTTGTAAGAAACAAATATTCACGAAGTAAAAAATATTTTTAAAATATTATATTTTCATTTATACAGGGTGTTCGGTTTTCCTTGGGACGATACCAACTTTCTTATTTTCAATGGAACACCCTGTATTTTTTTGCATTTTTGGATTCTACCCACTCTTTTAGGTATACTTTGTAAATATATTAATTAAGAAAATGTTAATACTTTTTGAGTAAAATTAAGATTTATTAAAATTTCTCTAAATGTAGACACTCGCTAAAAGTTAAAAATAACCAACTAAAAGTTATTATTTTTTATATTATGTAGTATCCGTCTCTTAAATAATAAATAAGCTATAAGTTAATTATTATATTTTTTGGAAAATATCATACAGGGTGTTTTCTATGTCCCGTTGAAAATAGCGATTTTAAAAGTTTAAAATCTTGTTTTTCTTCAATGGAACACCCTATATATTTTTGCATAATTGAATAGAATAAGTAATTACCTTTCATTTTATATATATATGTCCTATACCTAAACCTAACAGAAAAAAAAATATTCGCATTTTTTACAATTAGTAGCTTTTTTCCAATTACCTTAGTTAAATTTTCATTATTCAAATAAATAAATTTCAATAACAACAAATATAAAATGCTTTTATATATAAATATATATTACTATAATAATTACCATACGCGCAAAGCTACTAATTTTGTAAAATGCGAATATTTTTTTTAGGTGATCCACGTAAGGTGACCCATATACTTATCTCAGAAACTACTGGAGTCACAAAAAATTTGTAGGAAACAAATATTCACGAAGTAAAAAATATTTTTAAAATATTATATTTTCATTTATACAGGGTGTTCGGTTTTCCTTGGGACGATACCAACTTTCTTATTTTCAATGGAACACCCTATATTTTTTTGCATTTTTGGATTCTAAACACTCTTTTAGGTATACTTTGTATATATATTTATTAAGAAAATGTTAATACTTTTTGAGTAAAATGAGGATTTATTAAAATTTCTCTAAATGTAGACATTCGCTAAAAGTTAAAAATAACCAACTAAAAGTTATTATTTTTTATATTATGTAGCATTCATCTCTTTAATAATAAGTAAGCTATAAGTTAATTAATTTATTTTTTGGAAAATATTATACAGGGTGTTTTCTTTGAATAATGAAAATTTAACTAAGGTAATTGGAAAAAAGCTACTAATTGTGAAAAATGCGAATATTTTTTTTTCTGTTAGGTTTAGGTATAGGACATGTATATATAAAATGAAAGGTAATTACTTATTCTATCCAATTATGCAAAAATATATAGGGTGTTGCATTGAATAAAAACAAGATTTTAAACTTTTAAAATCGCTATTTTCAACGGGACATAGAAAACACCCTGTATGATATTTTCCAAAAAATATAATAATTAACTTATAGCTTACTTATTATTTAAGAGATGGATACTACATAATATAAAAAATAATAACTTTTAGTTGGTTATTTTTAACTTTTAGCGAGTGTCTACATTTAGAGAAATTTTAATAAATCTTAATTTTACTCAAAAAGTATTAACATTTTCTTATTTAATATATTTACAAAGTATACCTAAAAGAGTGGGAAGAATCCAAAAATGCAAAAAAATACAGGGTGTTCCATTGAAAATAAGAAAGTTGGTATCGTCCCAAGGAAAACCGAACACCCTGTATAAATAAAAATATAATATTTTAAAAATATTTTTTAGTTCGTGAATATTTGTTCCTTACAAATTTTTTGTGACTCCAGTAGTTTCTGAGATAAGTATATGGGTCACCTTACGTGGACCACCCTGTACAATGCGCACAAATGATTATAATAATTAATAACACAAGTTTACAAATTCCGGCCAACTTTTGGACCCGAGCACATTACAACGATTTTTGACGTTATTTCATGTGCTGAATTCGAATCTTAAATCCGTTTGGCAACATTGGTTCTAGTTTTTCAGTTCTCGCAGGTGAAGGGTAGGATTTTCGGTAGTAATCAAGTTATTTCCAAATTTGTCGTACGCAAAAATCAAAGAAGGAATATTTGTCGGACCTGATATTCGAAAATTAATGACCGAAGGAATCTATACAAAACGTTTAACGCCCGATGAAGCGACAGCATGGGCCTCTTTTCGAAGTGTTGTTCACAACTTTCTGGGTAATCGCAAATCCCCAGATTTCAAACAAATCATCATCAATTTGTTGCAAAATTACCGCAAGATTGGATCTCGGATGTCTCTCAAGATGCATTTCCTCCATTCCCACCTCGATTTTTTCCCTGAAAACTTGGGCAATACGAGCGACGAACAGGGAGAGCGGCTTCACCAAGATCTAGCAAACATTGAAAGGAGATACCAAAAATTTTGGGATGAACGCATGATGAGCGAGTACTGTTGGACTCTAATGCGTAAAACGGATCCAAAACAATATAAAAGACTTAGTTCCACCGCTCTTTATTTCTAATTTATTACTTTTAATTGCCATTAAATAAATATAATTGCCAAAGATCGTACAAATTTAATTTATATAATATTTCTAAGACTAGAACCAATCTTAAAAAACGGAGTGAAGATTTGGATTCAGCGCTCCAAGTTACCTTAAAAACAACCGCGATTAGACTGTCGACTGACTGCAAGTGCACGTTGGAAGATTGACAACAGAGATAAAAAAGGTTGATTGACAAGCACTTTTGGTTTGATATTTCAAAATTATTATTTGAAAAAATCACTATGGGATGTTTGTGCTGTGTTGAAATCGTACATGTTTCCATGACACTAAGTGACCTTTTAAATACACATTGACAAGTTGTGGCTTTACGGCGCTTTAGTCACGGGCTGAAGTTAGTCTTAAGTTAGTTGACAGTTGTCAAATGTCATACAATCGTTAAAATAAAGTGCCTTTCTTGTAAAATAATACTAAATGTGAAAATTATTTTATTATCTCAATACAAAAATAAAAAAATATTAAATAGTTTCTCAACGCTAATATTTGAAAGGTTTATATGAACATTGTACTGACCTTTTAATTTCGCCGGCAATAAACTATAACTTAAATTCGGGCACGGACTCTACTGTAAAGTCCTCATAAAACATTTCCTTTACCTTCACTGTGAAAAACTGTCAATTTTCAAGATACATTTCGATTTATAACCTTTATAATTGTGTTTATAAAATGTAAAAATGTGACATTTGACAGTTTCCCCTGTTGTTTCATAGATGGCTCTCTCTCGCTCGTGCCTAAATTAAATTCGTGTATAAAATGGCGTTTATCAAACTTGATACATAATATACTATTATCTACTCCTATTGCATAATTTTGTTTTTTTTTTCGTGAATATTGTTAAACATTATAAATTTCTTGTCTAACAACGTGAATAATAAGCTCATTGTTTGGACGATTTCAATACTTACTGCGATTTGAACCAATCTGGTTTTAAATTGGAAGAAGGCGACTAGAATAATATTAAAAATTGGTAAAAAGTGAGGTTAACCATTTGACAGATGTCAGATTTTATTTATTTAATTTTAAAAATCATTTAATTATCTACTTATTGGAGTAGATAAAGTATAGTATTACACTCGACATTATGCGCAATATTTACTCGGATGATTTACGTCTCTCGTCTGGCGACTCGAGACGTAAACCTCATCCTCGTGAATAATAGCCTGCATTATATCTCGTATAATAATATACTATTAATTTGTCAAGGGATAAAACACCAGCACATCAGTTATTTCAAATACCATCAGTAAGTTTATGATGAAGCTTTACAGTGTAATGATTACACCAAAGAACTTGCAATCGACTGATTTTACACTGCAAACTTCATACATTTTCACAAATAAAATTTATGTGAAAATCCATTACTGATTACCAATTTAACATCATTACAGTTCACATTTTTTTAGAGATGGGAAAATTCCCATTTGACGAAAATTCCCGGAAACTTTCCATCGAAAATTCCCGAAATTTTCCGAGTTTCAAAAAAAATTTTTTTATTGCGAATATATTTTTTTTATGCCAGGGATTTGTAAAAATATATAACACATTAACTTTTTGTCAAATTTTTGGTTGCATTAACGACATAGATTTTCTTACAGAACTTGCTTTGAGCATGGTCTTTTTTGTTTTTTTTGCACTATTTTGTAATAATTCCAAACACTAGATTTTTCCCTTGGCATTGTGCTATGCCTATAAATAAACAACAAAAATGTAAGAATGATTTTAAATTTGTTTATTGTTTTTATTTTGTTTGCCTTTTTTTAAAAAAGTTTTTTGTGTTGATGCTGAATAATCCGGCTTCATTGAGGTTATGTAACATAACTTACATTATTTATACTTCTTATTCTGCTTTAAATTAACACAAATTAAATTCTTATTCAAAGTTTCTTGGCCTTGTATCATGGCCTTAACGAAATCAGCGGTTAAACAATTGACATTTAAATGAAAAAAACAAGGAAAGTTTCCAAGGAATGTTTCCAAGGAATGTTTCCGGTAGCTTAAAAGAAACTTTCAAAATGAAAATAAATTCCCAATTGGAAACTTTCCAAAACGGAAAGTTTCCTTAAAATGGAAACTTTCCAATTCCCATCTCTACATTTTTTTGCTCCAACGACAGTAATACTGATTAGTTCATAAATTTACTCACTGTTTTAAAAAAACTGTTCTGTTTACTACTAAAAGATTTTATTATAATATAAAATATAATAATCTTTGTCTTTACGACTTTGGTAAAGGTAAACATTGGTTTAACGTCAAACGCTTGACATATGCACAAAATAATAGAGATTAAAAAATACCTTCTTTATCTCTGCAAAGGATAGGAGGGAAGATGCGCAGAACTCAATTTTGCGTTCTCGGTCATCGTTCTCGGTCATCGTTCACGTGCGACGTTCTTATGGACCCCCATTTCTCAAATTTATATGGACTTAAAGCCCCTAAATATAATCTTCTTACGTATACTATAAGATTGTCAAAAACATAATTTAATATGTCAAAATAATTTGTTAATGTCAAGAACAAATTTTTAAATGTAAAAATGACAAATGTTGCAGCGATATTTTACGAATGGTGTTTTTTCACTGATATTAAAAAGTATTAAATAACAATAAACCGTGAGTTGCTATTTATCAAAATTTCACTGATACCTATTAAAAAGCATTAAATAACGATAAAACCGTAAATTGCTATTTATCACAATAATTTAAATATTATTTAACATATTATTTTCGGCCGCAGGCAAACCTGCCCATTACTGGCAAAAATAGAACAAAAAAATTTGAAATAGTTTTTTAAACGCCCGTATAAATAAGATTTTAAATGCCCGTAAGTATTAGGACAGCATAAAGTCGAATAGGTCTGACTGCTGCTGAAGAGAGCAACAGCGACGGCCTGGTATAATTAAAATTTCGGAGCAATTTAAATTTTAAATTGCTCCGAAATGTCGCTGCGATTTTTACTGCCGCGGAGCAGTTTGCGATTGCGACGCCACCGGAGCAGTGACAAAGTAGCAGTTTGCGAAATCGCAACACACCTCTAGTTGGCACTAGTTAAACGTCAAAATTAACGTGGTTTTTCTGTAAAAGATAAAATGAAAAATTTGTTATGTTAAATTCCCTTCAGGGCTATATGTTTTTCAACTTATGTTCACTGCTACATATAAATGTAAGCTCGCCTTGACAAGTAAGTAAAAAATTTTAACCCACCTATTGAAACTAATGTTTACTTACGTTTCAGGGCTAGCCCGGATGATGTCATTAGATTAAATGAGGAAAGCGCTTGGCTACTCATTTTTTTTAAATAAATATACCGACATACAAAAATACACCCCTGTTATTAAATGAATAGTTTTATTGAATCGATTAGGCATAATGCCTAAGTTCGGCATTATTCCCAAGTTAAGCATAATGCCTAAGTTAGGCATTATTCTCAAGTTAAGCATAATGCCTAAGTTAGGCATTATTCCCAAGTTAAGCATAATGCCTAAGTTAGGTACTCAAAATCATGTCTAACTTTTTAGGCATTAATGCCTAAAAGTTAGGCATTAATGCCCAAAATTTAGGCATTTTTTTTGCAAGGGACACACTTTTCTACGTCCGTCCGACGGTCGGGGAGACACTACCTTTAATTATTCGACATTTTCAAATCGACATTTTAATTTTCGATATTATCATTTTCGACATTTTGAATTTTCGATATTTTGATCTTCGACATTTTGTATTTTCGATATTTTGATTTTCGATAAAAAGTGTTCGATATTTTGAATTCGATATAATGAATTTCGATATTGTGAATGTCACCCATTTTTTACGTATAATATTCGTACACTGATATCCAGAAAAAAGTGAATTTCCGCCGCTGATTATAATTATATAAAATTATGATTATAATTATAGCTTTTATTTTAATTCAGAAAGAAAAAAATGTTTGGTGCTATATTAACGTAACTATCGTTTTATTTAATAATTGATTTATAAATTTAAAATTTTGTAATTTAACTTAATAAATCATTCATTAATTTTTAATTGAATATTTTCAATAGACTTCCTTTTGCAAAAAGGGCTCAACCGACATTTAACGTTCACGTTTATTTTCTTAAATCAATTAAATTCAATTCAATGTTTTGTTTGTTTTTGTTTCTGTAATGAAGGATTTTTTGTCAATTAAAATAATGTTAAAAATATTCAATTTTTCCGAAAAAATCCAATTTTTCCAAGGCCTTATAAAAAAACGGTTTTTTCCCTAATTTTTCCTACACTTTAAAACCCTACTTGAAACATACTCAAAACTTACCGTCTGTATCTTGGGCGAAAGTCGTGGTCTCCCACACTTTGGTGGCCCTGCTGCCGCCACCGCCAAGAGCGCAGGCATTCGTCGGCGCATGAACAACGCCTTTCGGCGGCTCGGGCGATATTTTGTCGGACTCGGATTTTTTTTGCCACAGCATTTTCCGGCGCTCGATCTGATCCCGGAATCGTCCGGTTATGCCCGGCATAAAGAACCGACTGTTCTGCGTGGATTGCTCGCCGCCCTCCGTCAGTTCTGATTGATTAGGTTTTTTAATCTCAATGCCTGTGCGGTGGTGATGGTGTTGGTGGTGTGAAGAAATTTGTACGTGATTATTATGTAATTTTTAATTTCCTTTAAAACGAGTTACTTGATATACTTTGTTCGCGAAAACCATTTCAAGGTATTCTAGGGACAATTGTGTATATGCCGTATATGTTTTAAATCGTTTTAAAGGACATTTGGCGCTCTATAACTATACAGGGTGACCACCTAACTTATTAATTAGAAGTTTATGGAGAATGGAAAGTTATCGTTAGCCATTTATAGTATTTGAACAATTTATACAGGGCGTCTGGTATTTACGTTGACTTTTTTGTCACTTTAAATACCAATAACTTTCTTATTTCCAACAAAAGTAGCATACAATTTTCACATCATTCGACACAAAATAATGATTTCTATTGAAATGCTGCAGCATTTCCTATATCTAAAATGAATATTTACAGAGATATTACAAAAAATGTGAAAAACCCGCTTATTTTTTTATTTGTTATATAAGTAGTGTGCATTGGATTGTCTTTTATTTCGGATTTATAAAGTAATGTCAACGCCTCTGACAATTGTGTTACAATGGGTGATAATAATTACACTAATCAAGATATTCTAAACATGTTTTATACATATGGCGAGTGCAGAAAAGTTTTAGAGAGAACAATAAGAACTTTTAATGAGAGGCATCCCAATTTAACCCCACTCAGAAAGTAAGACAAACGTTTTCGGAATTGTCCCATAAAAAAATATGAGAACTTCTGAAGACGTATCAATATGTGTCCTGGAGATACATTGAACAATTACTTTAGATTTGTCTCATTTGTTTTTTTTTTAATATAATTTTTAAACTTTAAATTGATAATTCTTTTAACGCTGTTTAATACGAAATAAAAACAATCCAAAGCACAATAAAAGTTCACATTAAAAGTTCAAATTGTTCAAATTTTCCGCACTCGCCATATGTATAAACATGTTTAGAATATATTGATAAGTGTAATCATTATCACCCATTGTAACACAATTGTCAAAGACGTTGACATTGACATTATTTCATAAATACTAAATAAAAGACAGTCCAAAGCACACTACTGATATTACAAATAAAAAGTTTTTTTTTTACATTCTTTGTAATTTCTCTGTAAAGCTAGGATCAGACGGTGCAGCCTCTCGCGGCGACTTTATCGCTGCAACAAGTTGCAGCGATTTTGTTGCACACAAGGTATTCACACGAACCAACTAAATTGGCGCAATTTTCCACCAGGATTGCCAATTTTTCCGAAAATTACTAAGGGGAAAAATAAAAATACCTGTTCTGATTTAAATGTATAACATATATGTTTTCGTTATTTCGTTAAAAGTGTTTAGTGCATAGATTAAATAAATGGTAGTGCTAGTTTAATAAAACATTAAATGTTTGTTATTGTTAATAATAATTATTATTAACAATAACAAAAATTTAATGTTTTATTAAACTAGACTACTACACACTCTTAAAAATAAGGTTGTTATCTGTCATTCCATTTGACAAATATTAAGTACCAACCTTATTTTTTAGTGAAAATTCGTAAACCCCTGTAAAACTTACTAAGTCGCCGCAACTTTATTGCATGAAAAATAGAACATGTTCTATTTTAGGACAAGTTTGATCAACTGCTTAGTTTCATTGTGTGAACAACAAAAAATCGCCGCAACCTGGTTGCCGCGACAAAGTTGCTGCAAGAATTTGCACCGTCTGATCCTAGCTTAAATATTCATTTTAGGTATAGGGAATGCTGCCCTAGTAGCAAAATGGAGAAGCACTTTGTAAAGAATTGGCCAAGACTCTTGATCAAAATTCTTTATCCAGACTGGTGGCAGACAAGTCTGTGACCAGAATTTGACCAGATTCTTGGCCAAGAATTTTTACACGATTACACGTTAAATAGGAACTTTCAATTCAAGATTTTTGATCAATACAAAATTTTGTTGAACTTCAAAAGTTAAGAATGTTACTAAAAACATTAATTTTCCACGATTTCTTTCCAGTAAATTCGGTTTTAATCTATAAATCTGGTAAACAATAGAATTAAAAACGAAACAAATTTTGAAAGAGTTAAAGTTTTTAATTTTCTATGTTAAAAAAAAACCGGGTGCCCGTAAAAATAAAATGTATTTTATAATCTTTCATGTTCATAAAGAGTAAACTCTAGTTATGCATCCAGACAAGCATTGTAATACTTGTGGCAACCTGTGCTATATCCCAAATTGTGGCATTTCTGTTAAAAACACCATAGATTTAGGACGCCATTTGGCGGATTATATTGGTACTTTTATTTTTGCTATACACGCCGATTACAGTGATCTGCACCCAATTAAAATTGTGGCAACCGCGCCATAAATCAGGAACATTCGACTACGTGTATGTCGGATGCCACAAATATATATGCGTTGGCCAAAATACACAGAGACGCCACAATTGTGCATGTGTATTCTTAGCAGTGTTGCCAAGTTTGGTATAACGTTGGAAGTTCGTTTTATGGTAAATTTCTGCAGAAAATTGTTAATCGGCTTCTCGAGACTAGGTTTTGTTATTTTTAGTTTAAATATTAAACATTGGATACATTTTAAAATGTAATGTAATGTATTTGGTAGCAAAGAAGTCTTCTTATTAAAAGGTATGTACTATTACTTAAAAACTTTTAGATGTACTCCAATATATTAAAATATACGGAGCTATCCAAAATCTTGTACTAATAAAATACACTAATATTATATTTTATTATTAAAAGTTAATAATATATTTTACTATAAACATTTTTACGTTAAGAAAACTATTTAAATTAAAAATCTTAACGGTTTTAAAATTCTAAACTGCTCGATTCTAAAAAAATATTATTAAACTATTAAAATTTAAAATACAGGGTGTCCACAAAGGGTAGGCGGTATTTGTAAGTTCAATAAAAATAAAACTACAAGTCATAAAAAAATATTTTTTTTTTAATTTTTAGCAAAGTTTTGAAAAATTAAGTGCCAAAGATTTTGTTGTCCAAATGTTGACCCTCGCGCAGCTGGCATTCCTCTTACCGAAAACGGAAATTCACTATTGCGCCTCTACACATATCTCTGTAAACAGCGGTCATTTCAGTGAGGATCTTGTGCAGGAAAAGTCTTGGTCTATTTTTATACACTTTATCTTTAAGGTTTCCTCATAAAAAAATAATCAAATGGTGTAAGATCGGCGCTTCTCGGAAGCCAGTTAATGGTGCCACGTCGAGAGATCACTTTTTTCGGGATAATTTGATTGAAAACCTTGTGACTGATTTAAGGGGTGGCAAGAGGCCCATCTTGTTGAAACCATGTTTTCACATTAAAACCTTCAAACTTCTGCAGTTGTGGAATCAAAAAGTTTCTTTAACATGTCGCAAGTGCTAGCCCTCGTCGGTTTTCAAAAATGTAAGGCCCAATGATTCCTTCATCACTTGATTATTTTTATGGGGATACCTTAAAGAGAAACTAGAAAATAGACCACGAACTCTTCTGCAATTAAAGCACAACATCCGCAACGAAATGGCCGTTGTTTTCAGAGATATGAGTAGACGCGTGATAGTTAATTTCCGTTTTCGGTTAGAGGAATGCCAGCAGCGCGAGGGTCAACATTTGGACAACAAAATCCTTGGGACTTAATTTTCCAAAAATTTGTCTAAAAATTAAAAAAAAATATTTTTTTCTGACTTGTAGTTTTATTTTTATTGAACCTACCCTTGGTGGACAGCCTGTAGTATGTACAGGGTGGTCATAAAGTAGTATAATTTAAAAATGGCCCAAGAATGAACTCTTTTATTGTTAATTTTACAAAGAAAAGTTACTCCTTATAAAAAGTTTTGCTAAAAATATAATATAAGACTATTAAAACTTAAAATAACATAAAATAGGAAAATTGATAGTTGGACCAAGAAAAAAGTTCCCTTAATTTTTATTTTAAAGCAAAATAAAATAAGGAAATATAGCTAATAATTTAAAGTTAAATTAAGTTTAATTCCATGGCCTTCTATTAAAAAAATATTGATTTTTATAGATAATAAAAACTTACAAAGATGGATATATCGAAGCAAATGTGCATTAAGAGTAAAATTAGTGCATATGTATTTTTGTTTATATTATTTACATGGAATGTTTGATACTATAACAACTATTATTGTATTTAGGAAAATAAAGGATCATGTTATTATCAACTATTATACAAATATTATTTCTATAGGTATTTGTATATTTATAGGTAGGTTGCCACAAGTATTACAATGCTTGTCTGGATGTGCGCGCAAAGCAAATCAACCAGTTAATATAGAATATAAGTTAAGCTGCCGTAAATCTGACAACAACGCCTTCAATAATATTTTCACGAAAGGGGGCGCCACATTACTATGTGATGTGTAAGTGCCACAACTATTAGAAATTAAACGTACTTATATATCCCAAATTGTGGCAACATACACATATTTATATATTTATTTGAATAATTTATATTATTTTGCACAAACGTCAACAGAAGATAGGCTAATGCCGACGTATATCAAAACCAAATGACCTGGCAAAATATTAGTTTAATATATGACCGGAGGAAGCCAGAATTGAGGAAATAAATTGTGGCACCTCGTGTATGGTGTCACAATTTTGGATGTAGCCATAATTCAGCTTTATGCACACACAAGGTGCCACAATTATACAGAAACCTACACGTCAGAGCTGACGCATACATTATTGTGAATGATACTACTGTAGAATGAGAACCTCTACTCTATAGGGGATAGTCCCAAAGTTTAGCCTTTAGATGGCCTCAGATTTCTGGTCAAATTCTTGTCAAATTCTGGCCACAGTCTGGCTTAAGTCTTGCCCAATAATCTTGGCCAAGAATCTGGAACAATTATTGTACAATTCTTGAGCAAAAATCTGTCCAAAGTATCTTGACCCATGCTGGGCCAAGACTTTTCCGGAATTGCTACTAGGGTGTAGCATTTCAATAGAAAACAGTATTTTGTGTCGAATTATGTGAACATTGTATGGTAGTTTCGTTTGAAATTACAAAGATTGGTATTTAAAGTTACAAAAAAGTCAACATAAATACATAGACAGGGTGTCTAATATTAAAACTAATTGTAATGTTAAAAAGTTAATTCATGGTTAACGAAGGAGCACTCAATCAAAAGCCATTAATAGTTTTATTATACAGGGTGTACTAATATTAGTAAGACCATCGGTCAAAATTAAAAAAAAAAATATCTCAAAAATGAAAAATAATCAAATTTTAGTATATCAAAAATTTTGCGTAGAATTTAAAAATGCAATAATATTTTTATGGGTGCTTTTGAAAAACCAAAGTTGATAAAGTGATAACGCTTATAATTGCTTTAAACAAATTTTAAATCAATATATTTTTAAGTTAGGTGAATCATCCTGTATGTTAAAAAATTTATTAAATATTAGACATTTAAAAATTGTTTAAAAGTGTTTTATGTTATAGAAAATGAAAACATTAAGTTTGATACCCAACAAGCCATACTGTAGCCCTATATTTGTTTTTCTCCCATAACTCACTTGGTTTTCATCAAAAGTATATCTTGTTACATATAAAACTTAATGATTTTTGGCGATCTACAAGACTCACCCATTTTGCCTAATCTGTCCATTTTCTGACTTGCTCTATCGTATCTTTTTGAATAACCGCCTCTATCTCTTCGATCTCTAGATCCCGATCTAGATCTCGACCTTCGTCTTTTGTCCCTGCTTCTACTGCGACGTCTGTAGCTTGAATCCCTATCCCTGTCTCTACTTTTGTAGTCTCTATCGTCATATCTGCTACTTTTATCGCCCCTATCGTGTCTAGAATCCCTACGGTCATCCCTGGAATGCCTAGGACGGTCCCTACTACGTTCTTCATCTCTACGTGAGTATTTAGGCGATGTTCTACGATCGCGTTCGCTTTTTCTCTGCTGAGATTCTTCCGGTGAGCGTTTTTCACTGTCAGAATCCTGAGAAAGAAAATTTAAGACTTATTTTTTCGTTTTGGCTTTATACAATTTAATTAAGTGTTCAATTTGGTTTACTTAGATGGGAAACTAAATTCCCTTTTGTTGGACACCAAACTAGGCATACTTTGGATGAAAAACAAATGAAGAATGTTCGAAATTGACAAAGTCATAGCCAACTGCCACAAAAAGTATTCTTTGATTTTAAAGCTTTTTTATTGATTAAAACTGTTGTTTTACCCTATATCATACTATTACCTGTTAAGTATGTACATATGTAAGTATGTACATAAGTATTTTTTTAAACCAAAAATTCCCATAATTACCTATTAAAAGATACTCACCGCGTTTCGGCGTTAATTGAAGGTCAATTCTCAAGGTCGTGCGTTGTCAGGTCCATATAACCAATTACTCTTATAATATATCAACAATAATAATATTAATATCAAATTGAATTTAAATATAGAGTGTTTTTATTTTAATATAGATTTTATATACAAAAGGTGGGTAGAGTTAAAATATTTAGTGTTTTTGAATTTATCGCTAAACGTGAAGTCAAAAATTAAGTTGTCAATACATAAATAGTCAAACTAGCCAATAAGGATAAAAACTAAACATGTCTGAATTTTTATTATTACCTCGCTTAAATCCATTCCTACATCATCATAGTTTGCATCAGGGGCCTTTGGTGGTGGTTTTCTGTAGTTTCTCTCCGTAATTTTTGGTTCCTGTCAAGAATTTTGCTGTTCGATTTGATGATTCGTACTAATATTTGCAAATAATAATATTAATATTTGTGCATTTACTAATCAAATGAAAATCTTAATTTTAATGAGTTACCAATACAGGGAGTTAAGTATAGTACCCTAACACCCTGTATAACGCAAGAATAAATGTTATTTAGTCAATATACTACAAAAATCAATAAAAACTAGTAATAAAAGTTTTAAGGCTTATCTGTGTATACTTACGCTAATTTTATCATCACCAGAAGAATAATCATCATCGCTACCATAATTAGCAAGCGAGTCCATGTTTTTAACGTTCAAAATCCGTTTTTTGACAAGAAAAAACACTCAAAATATGAACAAAATGCCATAAATAGAAATATTCAAAATGGCGTCTTAAAATGACAGCTCATCGGTATTGCAGCGATCTATGTTAGCTTTGAAGAGACGTCACAAGATGCGAAGTTGGTAGTTATTTAAAAATCGTAATTTTCCTGTTTTATGCAAAAATCGATAAAAAAAATGGTTTAGGGTTTAAGTTTTATGCGTTTAGAACCAAAATATAACCCATTTCAATATAAAAAAATTATGTTAAAATACTAAATTATGTTAAAATACTAAATACTACATTTTGTTTTAGAGTAAATTTTTGTAAATAAGTATCTCAAAAAGTATTTAAGATAAGAACTTGAAATTTGGAGTAAGTACCTAATTATTTAGGACATGTTGCTATATATTTTATGCCTCAAAATTAGTAGTAGTAAATATATTTATTGGAAAAACCAAAAGGCCCAATATATCGACCAGTCTTTCTGCCACCTCAAAATTATTAAATCCACAATTTTAACAAAATTAATTCTTGTAGAAATTCTTTGGTACCTAATTTCATTATGGAGAATGTCTTAATTCTTATTTTAACTAAAAATAATATTTAACATTTGAAAGTTCTACAATAGGTACTTTCATTAAAAATTAACAAACTTTGGTTTGGAGTAGGTAGTACCAAAGATAAAAACTTAAAATTTGGTTTTTTTAGAAGATATTGTGTAGAAATTTCACACTTCAACTTTATTATTTTTTAAATTACCTATACCCAAAGCAAAGTATAGGTATTAAAATCCACATTTCTATGTTTAACTCTATAATTTAAAAAAAAATTCTTATAGAAATACTTACTTTAAATATTATTTTAACTAAAAGTAACAAAATAAAACACTGAAAATTCTCCAATACAATCTTTATTAGAAAACAAAAAATTTAGCGTCACTTAAAATAATAATTACACATCGTAAAATTATTTAGTGTTGCTTGCGCCTGAAACTGCAACCCTCTGTAAGTCTAGCTTTGCCTCCGGTCGATGTGCACAAGATTGTTGAACATCCTTTGCATGGAACTGCAGATTGGGCATGCGAGAAGATTGTAGAGATGGCATAGCAACCAGGACATTTAACGTCCATAAAATAACTGTTTGGGTGTTGCACCAACCTCTTCAATTTATGGCTACGCCTCTGTTTTTCAGCGGAAGGGTGGAGCAAGTCAACAGCTAAAGGCATCTACAATAAACATGAAAATGTTTAGGTTATGTTCCTTCAACATGATAATTGTTTAGTTTTGAAAGTTTTAACCATGAAAAAATGTCAAAAACGCCTTAAAAATGCCTATTCAACAATATTAAAAATATGAATTCCACCACATTTTAAAATGTGGTGCAACATAAATATAGCCCAAAATAACATCAAAAACTCCATAACCAACAATAACAAACCCTATTTATCCCTTAATATCCCAAAAAGCAAATTTATTTACTCTAAAAAAACCAAACGGCCTTTCAATACATATGCCCAAAATAACCCAACTTTTGTACAAAACCCGCAATAAAAACATCCCCCAACGTACCCACGATAAATATATGGCGAAATTTACCTTGTTTTTTGTATTTAGCACTGAATTTACACTAAAATTCTTTAAGACGCACGTGGTCAATACGGCTATCAACCATGTAAAGGAAGTTGACAGTTAAGCAATGTGACCAACTTCCTGTTTCACTGCCAAGCTAAGCGACGAAAGTTACTAGATAAGAGTTTTTGTTAAAATAGATAATTGTAATAAATTATTGTATTTTAATTTTTATTTATCGTTATTTAACGCAATTTCGATGGTTGGTGGTAATTTCGTTATAAAAATGTTTAAATAAAGTTTTTTAGCGTTGTGGCTAAGTTCACGGTCCTGCAAATTTGCGGGAGTTTTTGAAAAAACTGTTTAGTTTTAAAAAATTTCATTTTTCTAACTCAAATGAAGTTAGATTCAATAGAGGTCATTGGTTAAAATTGGCCTTGGGTTTTAAAAATATTGTTCAAAGTTCAAACATTTAATTTAGGAACATTAAAAATAATATAACAACGTTTATTTGGTGTTTAATATGGCTTTATTTAAGACTGGAATACCTAATTTAGGTGGGTAGTGTTGGTATTATGTATATCATTCTTTTGTTTTAAATGGTGACTTGGTTTGTTACAGTAAAATGTATACAAAAAAGAAACATAGCAAGCCTATCAGCTTTATCAGAAACGCACCAAATGCTGCAGAAAACATGTCGTGACTTTACTGAGGGGGAATTAAAACCTATTGCCTCAAAAATAGACAGGGAACACTTATATCCAAAAGAACAGATTAAAAAAATGGGGGAATTAGGTTTGATGGGTATAAGTGTCCCCGAGGAGCTTGGAGGGACAGGTTTAGATTACTTAGCCTATGCTATATCATTAGAGGAGATTTCCAGAGGATGTGCCAGTGCTGGAGTAATAATGTCTGTAAATAATTCATTATATTTGGGGCCTATTATGGAGTGGGGAACAAAGGAACAGAAAGAAAAGTATATTACCCCATACACAGATGGAAATAAGGTGGGGTGTTTTGCTCTGTCAGAACCAGGGAATGGTTCAGATGCTGGTGCAGCTTCAACAACGGCTAAATTAGAGGGTACAAATTACGTTTTAAATGGTACAAAATCATGGATTACCAATGGGTATGAAAGTGAGGCTTCTGTAGTGCTAGCTACTACAGATAAAAGTCTAAAACATAAAGGTTTAATATAAAACATGTAAACGAAAATTAATTGTAAAAAATGCATATTTTTGTAGGTATTTCTGCAATTATTGTTCCAAAACCAATTGAGGGGCTCGAGTTGGGTAAAAAGGAGGATAAATTGGGAATTAGGGGTTCATCCACATGTTCCCTAATGTTTGAGAATTGTAAGGTTTCAAAAGAAAATTTGTTGGGAGAGACAGGATTTGGATTTAAGGTAAATTGTTAAAATTATAGGTTATGTTTTTTAATAATAATAGATATTTATTGATTATCACATCATACATAACAATAATATATAACAATAACAATCAAAAGGCCATTGATATGTTTTTTATTTTTGTTGATTTTTTAAATTTTAAATGTCAAATAGGTAGGTATTCTAAAACGCCAAACTCAACCCCAATTTTAAACAAAAAAGGAAATTAATGTGATAAACTATGGTAAAAAAATAGTTTTAAAATTGCAAAACATAAAAATTCCATAATTTTAACCATTGATTAAAAAAATTAAAAACAATAACATTGCAAAACAGTCTTGAAAATAGCTATTTACATACCATGGGAGGAAAATATTGCATTTCCTCCCGCGAATAGTTTGATGCCCGACGCGAAGCGAAGGGCATTAAATATTCAAGGGAGGAAATGCATTTTCCTCCTGAGGTATGTATATAGTTTTTTCTATTACCTTTTAACGGTTTTAAGACATTTTAAGCGTTCCGGTTCCTTTTACTTACCCGGTTTGGGGCTATAAAATTATGACAAAATATTAAGTAGGTTTTGCGTCGCCGACGTTATGTTGACAACGCTTTGTTGCTATGGTATTTTTGGTAATACCAACATAACAGTTTTTATAAGCTGTCATAATGTTTATCATAAATTTAATAGTTGCAATTAATTTCCTTCCTTAAAAATCTAAAATAGTGAATATGAACATAGTTTGTTAAAAGAATGGTTTGACAAGCGCGGAGTAAATCTTTTTCCTACAAAATCAAATAAAGCTAGACAAGGGACAAAAACTCTTGCCAATGTAAAATTTTTTAAAAAAAGAGGGAGGAAATTTTTTTTCCTCCCGGGGAGGAAAAGAGGCATTTTCCTCCCTCGCTCGGGGGTGGAAAAATAAGTTTTCTAGTAAGGTAGTAGAAAAAATAAGTTTTCTAGTAAGGTAGTAGAAAAAATTTATTATTTAAATCGTCTAATTTCAAAAGCGGCCATCTCCTTTGAAGAATATTTTAAGTAGGTAAACGTCAAAAAAACATTCTAAACAGTACCTACCTAATGGGTAAAAAATATAACTATTTACATACCATGGGAGGAAAATATTGCATTTCCTCCCGCGAATAGTTTGATGCCCGACGCGAAGCGAAGGGCATTAAATATTCAAGGGAGGAAATTCATTTTCCTCTTGAGGTATGTATATAGTTTTTTCTATTACCTTTTAACGGTTTTAAGACATTTTAAGCGTTCCTGTTCCTTTTACTTACCCGGTATGAGGCTATAAAATTATGACAAAATGTTAAGTAGGTTTTGCGTCGCCGACGTTACGTTGACAACGCTTTGTTGCTATGGTATTTTTGGTAATACCAACATAACAGTTTTTATAAGCTGTCATAATATTTATCATAAATTCAATAGTTGCAATTAATTTCCTTCCTTAAAAATATAAAAATAGTGAATATGAATATAGTTTGTTAAAAGAATGTTAAAAGAATGGTTGGACAAGCGCGGAGTAAATCTTTTTCCTACAAAATCAAATAAGGCTAGACAAGGTACAAAAACTCTTGCCAATGTAAAATTTAAAAAAAAAAGAGGGAGGAAATTTTTTTTTCTTACTACCTCGACTCAAAATACGTTGTTTCTTCCCCGATTTCACGGCAGAAAGTTTACGTTTCTTGCATTGGTCAAGCTATACGCGCACACTCTAATAGCGGGAGTAAAAATTTTTTAGAGCCGTTTCACATGCGACTGATAAAGTCCTGACGATCAGTCCTGATGGTCAGTCCTGATGACTAGAGGCCATTGTTTAAATGAACTTTTTCACATGCACTGCGTATCATCGGTTGACTGATTCGTCGGCACGGGCATCGGGACAGCCCGTGCGCACTGCGTACCGTCAGGACCAGTGTTGCCATCTTGGAGATTTTTTCACCATTTCTGGTGATTTGTTGTTCTTGGTTGAGAGTTTTCAAGTTAGATAGCGACAAGTCTCAAACGTGGAGAATTTAAAGATGCATCGGAGAGTTTTTAGCGATTTTTTAATAATTAAAATACAAAATAAAAAATATTGAAAGTATTGGTTGGGTGCGTTGTACTAGTGATTTTTTAATTAAGTTACCCTGGAAGAATTTGACGGGTCGGAACTTTGATACACCCCATCCACATATTTATAAAATTTAGAAAATTTTTGGGGAGAGGTAAATTAATACAGAGATGCATCTTAGGGTGAGCCAAAAAAACTAACCTATCGGATTTATGGGTTAAAATGAACCTACATACCGAGCAAAAAATTTCCCTGCAAGGCAAAAGTTTTTGCTCAATTTTAAAAGGTGTCGGTGAGCATTCTAAGTTTTCCATTGAAATAACACGTAAAAAAATCTTTTTTCATTAAAAAGACTATAACTTTTGAACCGTTTGAGATAATTTTTTTTACGTTGCGGATTCTTGTAGAGCATAAAATTTCCCAAAGATTATTTTTTTTAATTCAAAACTTCGTATGTTTGAAAGCTTTGAAAAGTGTAAAAAATCACTAAAACTGCAGTATTAGTGATATTTTACACGCGACGTAAAAAATTTTATCTCAAACGGTTCAAAAGTTATAGTCTTTTTAATGAAAAAAGATTTTTTTACGTGTTATTTCAATGGAAAACTTAGAATGCTCACCGACACCTTTTAAAATTGAGCAAAAAATTTTTCCTTGCAGGGAAATTTTTTGCTCGGTATGTAGGTTCATTTTAACCCATAAATCCGATAGGTTAGTTTTTTTGGCTCACCCTAATGCATCTGGAGAAAATGTATTCAAAGATCATTTAGCTCTGACTCCTATTTTTACCACACTCCAACGCTGACGTTGAACGTGTATACACATATATTTAGTATTATGAATGTGATAAAATCAAAAACAGGATGAAATTGCCGTTATAAAACAATCTCTTATACATTAGATTTGGCCTTAAATGGTTACAGTTATGCTGTAAGGACTACCTCCTCCCTGATAATATATTAAAACAAAAACCAAAAAAATATATAACAATAAGCAGGGGCGTGCTGGCAGTCCAATGCAGGCCTGGACTGGATAGTAGAGCAGTCCAGACTCAAGCCAGTTTCATATAGTCCAATGCAGGCCTGGACTGGATAGTAGAGCAGTCCAGACTCAAGCCAGTTTCATATACCTACTTAATATAGCCAGTAAAAAATGTTATACCTATAAAATAAAACCACATTCACCTACCTATGTAGTAAAAGTAATATTATAAAAAATACTTACAAGATTAGATATTACGATGACACCTCGGCTGATAAAACGTCCCGAGACAACTCTCTTCGCAACAAGGAACTTTATTCAGGTATTATAATATTATAATTATAAGCCGATTTGAAACGCGGTTATAGATTTGTTTTTTATATACACAATATTATACCCACAATCTTTACGAAAAAAAATTAATCTCTTTAGAATGCGAACAAAAATCAACTGCTTTGCGCACCACGTGAGCAATCTTTGATTTAGGTATTTGCCGCGTTAATTTAAATTCCCCGAAATAGGTAGTAGTTCTCATATGGTTTTGTTTTGGTTTATGGTAAGTTCTGTATAATAAATGCAGGCATGTAAGAATTAAAAATAGTCATTTTAAGTTCTAAAGTAAACGCAAATGTTTTTAAATATAAGATTTAACACTTTTAAAGCAAACGCATATGTTTTTAAACAATATTTGCATGTGTCAATGAAATTATGAATAAAATTTACTATAAAATGTAATAAAGCTAGATTGTCAAATTCAATGTTCTTTAATGTATAATTTCGTTGTTCGTAGTGTACATTAATAATTAATGATTAATTATGCCCAAGCTTTGCTAAAATTTGTCATTTTAAAAGGGAAGATAAGCAGTCCAGCAGGCCACCAAGAGGTGCAGGCCACCGGGCATTCGCCCGGTGTCCCGGCGGCCCAGCACGCCCCTGACAATAAGACTAATGAAACAATAGATGATATAATTGAATACATTAGTACTATCTAAATCCTTCTACAGTTTATCCTAAAATGTGACCGTCAAACTTTGTATATAGAAAAAAGACTTATTTTGATCTGTACCTACATTACGTTAGCAAAGTTTGGCCAGCTACTTTTGGGACCTTATTTTTGTTATTTCCATGTTAAAAGAAAATGTTTATTACATAATAAGGCATTTAAACCTCATATTACAAAGTTGTTTTTTTTTATTTATTTTTTTGTTAACTTTTTAAATAAACTGTTTTATATTTTTTGCATTTTATGTCCATACAAACCTCTTTGTTTTGCCCATTAATTATTATTGGAGATTTTTTTTTGCAAAGTTGGAGAATAATGGAGAATTTTTGTTTAGGTTTTTGAGAATTTTAACATTTTACTGTTGGCAACACTGGTCAGGACTATTAAGGGCTGTTAGTTATATGGAGTATTTCATATGGTACGTACGGTCAGCAGAAACAGTGTTGCACAATGAGTAGTTTACGCATTGATACTGAAATTGTAATAAGTAGCATCGAACAGCGAAGATGCATCTGGTATGCAGATGATGAGAACTACAAAAATAGGGATGCAAAGAATAAAGCATTTGAAGAAGTAGCGGAAATAGTAGTTCCGGATTTTGAAAATTTTGCGGATGCAAAAAAGAACTTTTTTGCGTTGTATTATTCTCTTTATACAAAAAGTGGCAACAGCGCAATTCCGGAGAGGCTGAGAACCGTCTCGTAGTAGACATTTCCGTACTATACGTTGCTTGTGAAACAATGGCCATGACCGTCAGTCCGTATCATCAGGACTGATCGTCAGGACTTTATCAGTCGCATGTGAAACGGCTCTTAGTCGTGTGCTTAACATTCAAATTTCGTACTGCCAACATGAGAAACACAAAAATATGACAGTTTTAAACCATAATTTTGCAATTATAACAACAAATAAACAATTTATGTTTTTACTTTTTTACTTTTTATGTTGTTTTAAGTGTTTAATGGTACTTTTAT